TTGCCACAATTAAGAACTTCTTTGTTAGTGAAAATATAATTGCACATTTGGAATAAGAAGCACTCTACTGACATATGTTTTCAATTAAATGCTGAGATTATTAAGTATTTATAAATTAAGATACACATTAAAAACTTCAGATACTGATTTGAACTTTCAATGTGCACTATTCTATTGAATTATCGTTGAAGTATGATAGAAATGTAAAGATACCTAATTAAACAGTAGCAAGAATAGGTAGAATGTGGATATATTTTCTAATAAGTATATTTCTATGTACATAAGGTTTCATTATTATAATTAAATTTTATTTCTTAAGTTCAACTGCTCTTATATTTGAGTGGTATATTAAATACCCTAGTTTACACAAAATTCTGGTTAATGCTTCTAAGAAAAATTTTGCCGACTAGTACTGCTTAATGAGGACTAAAGCATATGTTGCTCTGATCCCTGCTGTTTTATGATTTTTATAGCTTTACTTATGCATAAAGATTTTGAGGAATAGTTTAATCGTATGATAATAAGCGATATTAAACTTTTAAAAATTAAATATTAAACTTCATTGCATTCTAGTCAGTATTTAATATTATAAAGTATAACCCCAACAAGAAGGGTCCAAAATATTTCAGTACATAAAAGCAAAATTAAAAAGGATATTATTTTACGTTCTATTTGAACTGTATTTAAAAAAAAATGTTTATGTCTTTCCCTCAGTTCATGCAATATTCCTTTTCATTATTAATCTTTATCCTTATCATGTTATTCCATTAACACTTCTATGCAATTAAATAGCATCTTACATTATATAAATGTCTTCATAACATTAATTAGTCCTGGCTGAGACTGCTGTGAAATAATTTATATTGTTACTGTTTGTTATTACTTTACATTTTATTATTGGTATTTGCATTTACAACAGCAATGCTTTTATGTGCCATGTGTCACTTAACAAATGAGGATGGGTTCTAAGAAATGCATTGTTAGGCAATTTTATAGTTCTGTGAATCTCATAGACTGTACTTATACAAACTTAGATGGTATAGCCTATTACACAGCTAGGCTATGAGTTATAGAAATCATATTACTCCTAGGCTACAAGCCCATACAGCCTGTTAACATACTGGATACTGTAGGCAATTATAATGCAATAATAAGTATTTGTGTATCTAAAGATATATAAACATAGAAAAGTTACAGTAAAAATATGGCATGAAAAGTAAAAAATGGTACACCTGTATAGGGCACTTACTGTGAGTGAAGCTTGCAGGAACGGAAGTGGCTTTTGGTGAGTCGTGAGTCAGTGAGTGAGTGGTGAGTGATTGGGAAGGCCTAAGACATTACTGCACACTACTGTAGGCTTTATAAATACTGTACACTTAGGTTACGCTAAATTTATTTTAAAAAATTAATGTAATTGCACTATGACCTTACAATGGCTATGACATCACTAGGCAATAGGAATTTTTCAGCTCTATTATAGTCTCATGGAACTACCTTCATATATGCAGTAAATTGTTGACAAAAGTGTCATTAAGCTGCGCATGACTGTATTAGGTATATTAAAAATAACTATTTAGGGAAAGTAAAAGTCAAGAAATTCAGCTGGGTTATTGTCCAAAGATGTACTTTATTAAAAGTACAAATAAAATAATATATCTTTAGGTATATAAAAATAAAGTAATATGTCTTTAGATACACAAATACTTATCGTTTCATTATAATTGCCTACAGTATTCAGTATATGAACAGGCTGTACAGGTTTGTAGCCTAGAAGTAATATGATTTCTGTAACTCATAGCCTAGCAGTGTAGTACAAATTGAATTCACAATTCATTTGTTTTGATCACATATTGGTACTTTGTTCAGCGTGAATATGCAGTGTAGGATGAATAGAAAGCCATTGTAAAGAATTAAAATACTAAGACCTCAATATAACATCTGGCATCAAATTATGCTTATTTCACTATAAAGTATTAGTGTTATGAACACAATAGTACAGTACCTTCCATGGTGACTTTTGATCTTATGTTTTCAATATTGCATACAAAATAAATAAGAACATAAACAACCAAGTAGAAAAATGGGCAAATATAAAAAGGGATCAGGCTATCTACTGACAAAAAATAAAAAATGTTACTTATATGTTTTAATGTACATCTAATCTATATCTTAATAAAATGATCGTACGTTCAAACTATGGTGTAATACCAATTTTTAATCTGTCAGATTCAAAAAATACACACGCTATTTAAATAATTTAGAGAGGCTATTTGCAAACAGTTACTCTTTTACATCACTGATGAGAATGAATATTTGTTTAACCAATTAAGAAGGTGAATTTCTGGGAATTTACCTTATAGATTAACAAGACAAAAATTTGGAAAACCTTAAGGATCGGTAATTAGGAAACTGGTAAAATAAATTACGGTGCATTTACAAAGCAATGGCTGTCTAATTACCAACCTAGAAAAGCAACATGTAACGCATTTTCATGCAGAATAAACAAATGTCTAATTTGCTGACCATCTTAGACTTTCTAATTCAAGATATCTGTAAGTCTTAAAGGTATATAATAGCTTGTTTTTAATGAAATTACCTTGGCATATAATCATATACTAATACAGAATAGTTTTTAAGATACCATTTAATGCAAAAGAGAAAGAAGATGCTATGCATGATGCATAACTTGTTTCCATGTAAGAAACAAAAAAGAGCAGGCATACATAGCTATATAAGGTATCTCTGTATATGTGTAGAATACCATTTTATTGTTTTTAAATATTTTAATTTCTATAAAACACGTATGCAGAAAATTGTATTGAAAACATGAAGAAATCAATGCATTGATACAAAACGTGCACCTCTACCCTCACTCACTCATGTCACAAAATAGATACTCTCAAACCAAACCACACCCATGTTCATGTTCACTACTGCTCTTTATCTTCCTCCACAGTTATAATCAGAATGTGAACTTCAAAAAACAAACAAACAAAAACTTTGGAAAACGACACATTACTTATACAAGATCACTTATAGGAGATTTTAAAAACTCTGTAAACTTATTTTACCTAATTGACATCTTAGATCACTCCATCAAATAGCAGCAGAATACACATTCTTTGCAAGTGCACACAACACATTTACCTAAATAGACCATATACTAGGCAATAAAATAAGTTTCAACACATTCAAAAGTATTAAATGGTGCAAACTATGATCTCTGTGTACAGGAAATCAAACTAAAATATATAACCAAAATATTTAGAAAATTCTTAAATATTTAGAAACCAAAAAGTAAAAAATAAAACTAAACTAAACTAAATCACCTTGGGGTCAATTAAAAAATCAAGAGAGAAATTAAAGAGTATGTTGCATTGAATAAAATAAAATCACAGTTAGACTGAATATTATCTAAAAGAAAGAGAAAAAACAAATGCTGGTGGGGATGCAGAGAAAAGTCCCTCCTACACTGTTGGTGGGACTGTAAATTGGTGCAGCCATTATAGAAAATGGAATGGAGTTTCCTAAAACAACTACAGATAGAACTGCCATAGGATCCAGCAATTCCAATGCTGGGTATACACCCAAAGGAATGGAAGTCATGATGTTGAAGGGATACATGTATGCCCATGTTTTTCGCAGCTCTATTTACAATCGCCAAGAGTTGGAACCAACCTAAACGTCCATTATTGAATTAAAGTGGCTAGATTCCTTGTCCTACCCTTGTTTAAATCTTTATTATAGTTTTTCAACTAATATCTGTGTTTATGTAAATAATATCTGCAGTTATGTTTAAGGGTTAACGGCTAAAAGCATTTCTAAGCTCTGTAGCTTTGTGGTTTCCAAGCTTGTCAGCTTGGTCTTCCTGTGTTAGTGAATGACTAAACTAACCCTCAGCTTGTCAGATTTCCTGTGTGGGTGAGAGATGGGTTTGCTCTCTAGCTGGCGCTGCAGAAAGTCCACTAAACACATTCCCCTGTCTCTGTGACCCATTTTGACCGACCAGCTGATGAAGCCCTGTACCCAAAGCCATTGACCCAGTTAACCACCTGTTAAAGACCCCCGATTTAGGGAACCATGCCTGGATACAGACAAGGAGCCAATAGAAATGCAGGCTTGCTGCTTGCTCAAGAAAGGTATATAACTCCAGTTCTTCTTTTTTTAATTTTTATTTATTTATTTTTTTTATTATTTTTATTTTGTCAATATACAATGTAGTTGATTATTGTGTCCCATCACCGAAACCTCCCTCCCTCCTCCCTCTCCCCCCTCCCACCCAAGTGTGTCCCCTCCATTTTCTTGTTGTAAGAACTTCAAAAAAAAAATTGGGGTTTTTATTTCTTCCCCCCCCCCCCCCCCCGGTTTTTGTTGTTGTTGTTGTTGTTGTTTGTTTGTTTGTTTTGTGTGTGTGTGTGTGTGTGTGTGTGTATGTGTGTGAATTGATTCATTCACCTTTAGCTCCCTCCAATAAGTGAAAACATGTGGAATGTGGTATATCTACACAATGGAATACTACTCAGCTATAAAAACGAATGAAATACTGCCATTTGCAACAACATGGATGGACCTTGAAAGAATAATATTAACTGAAACGAGTCAGGCAGAGAAAAAGAAATATAACTCCAGTTCTGCCTGCATTCGAAGCTCAGGTTTTTGGAATGTTAGTTCCCCTGAGACTGCTAGCTTAATAAACCATCTGACTTCTCCATCTCTCCCAGTGTTTGTGTTTCCTTGGGCGACTTCTTCCACAACAGGATGACTGGATAAGAAAAATGTGGTATATTTACCAGTGGAATACCACCATAGAAAAAATGAAATTCTGCCATTTGCAGCAACATGGATGAACTTAGAAAAAATTATGTTAAGTGAAATATGCCAGGCACAGAAAGAGAAATACTGCAAATCCTCACTCATAAGTGACAGCTAAAAAATAATAATTAATTAAGAAAATTAAAGAAAGATGCAATAATCACAATAATATGTTGGACTTTCATATCTGTAGTTGGCAGGATTCAAACCTGCATAGGGAGACCCCAACGGATTCCTAGTCCATTGCCATAACCACTTGGCCACAGCTACTGCTCATGTTGGGCTATCGAAAAGAGAAAACAGAACTGAGGTTAAGAGGTGGGGAAAGGGCAAGGAGAGGGTGTAAGGGAATAACTGGTAAAGGGCCACAAAAAACAATTACATTGTATAATGTTGAATATACTAATTATCCTGACTTGAGCATCATATATTGCACACAAGTATTGATATTCAATTCTGTTCCCCACAGATATGTACAATCAACTATTTTTAAATAAAAATAAAATAAAATAAAATTACGGAATATTAAAGTTTGTAGGATGCTGATAAAACAATAGGTAGGGAGAAATTTATATCAAAAACACCTACATTACAAATGAAAGGTCTCATCAATTACTCGATCTGACCATTTCTGGTGTATTTTGACCACCTACAATTAATGTGATTATTATTATGATTGGATCAAAACATACCACCTTTCTAGCAGTTTTTCTTTTTTTTTAATGTATCCTTTTCTTCTTTTCTTTTCTTTTTCTTTTTTCTTTTCTAAGGTTAAGCATTTTTTTAAGATTCAATTTTATCTTATATTGGCTTATTGCTTATGCCACTATTTTCCCATAAGTTTTAGGGATTCTTTAAGGGTTAAAATATGTATCTGTAAGTAACAAAATTCTACCTTCAAATAATAGATTATCTTTTCGTGTATAATGTATTTATCTTTACAACATTATAGTCCCAGATCCTATATCTCATTCCTTGAGTTATTGTCATAGGCTTTATTTTTACAAATGTTATAATAACAAATGTATTATTACTACTTTTGATTTATGCAAATATCTTGTGGACTGATTAAAATTAAGAAAAATATGAAATCTGGGCCGGCCCGGTGGCGCACTGCTACGGTGCGCTGCTTGGGAGTGCAGCGGCGCTCCTGCTGAGGGTTCGGATCCCACAAACAGACCGGTTCCCGCTCACTGGCTGAGCGAGGTGCGCGTGCGACGCTGAGGGTTGCGATCCCGTTGCCGGTCCCGGTCTGGTACGGGCGCGACACTGAGGGTTG